CAGGACTGCATATAGCCAGCTGTCAGAAAGTAACACTCAGCTAAGCTCGGAGGAAGACCCTAGATACACTGGGATTGACTTCTCTAGGTTACATTCATGCCAAAGTGAGGTTGTCTCTAAGTTTCTGTTCTCTTCTCAATGCCCCAGCTCAAGACCGTCCCCTAAACAATCACTTTGTCTTTGGTTATTCTTGGCTATTCACTTTGGCTTAACACTAAACTGGGTTTCCTATTTTCTAATTAGTTCAATCATTCACTTTCTTAATATGTGTTGAGTATCAGACTAAAAACAAAACTTGTCCTCGGTTGAAAGAGAAAATGAAAGTCTACAAATGGCAACCTGACTGAACAAACACGATATGCTATGTTGATTAAGTCATCAAAGGAAGATGTCCAGTGGTCTGTCATGAGCAGAGGCAATGATAAGATTTGAGAGACTTACAATAAAGGCTAGAGGACAAAGGTATGCAACTGACCAGGTTTATGATGCTCTTAAATATTTGTTCAACATTTGTTTACTGGTGAGAATAAGCCTCACATAATTGGCTTCTCTATTGCCTTGAGTGAGTCATGCAGCTCTGGCCCCAAGCTTGCATGCCCTATTTAGCAGGATAAAAGCTCTGTAGTTACCTGAGCCTGCTGTGCTCCTTGAAGACAGTCTAGCTGTGGTATTCACACGAAACTTTGGCACTCCTCCCCACTACTAAGTGGCTTTATTAAATTATTCCTCCCTAGCACCTACAGTGCTGTTTCTGAACGGAGTCCTAGTAAACACAGTTTGCCCCATTTCCTTTTATTTTTGAGCATTACCGGGTAGTTGCCATCTGGCCTTCTTCTAGCGCTGGGAAGAAGCAACAGTCTGAGCAAAAGTTTGGAGGCTGGAGCGGTTGGGAGTAACATCCCAGAATGCAAGGTACCATCTGCAGTAGAGAAGAGAAAGATGCAAGGGGAGAGGTAGCAGCTTGGAGAAAAAGTTCCTTCCCTCGATGCCTAGGAACAAACCCAGAATTTCTGAGGATGCTAGGCACGAGCCCTACCACTGAGCCACATTCCTAGCCCCTTGGAAGCTAGTTTAGTAGAGGAGAATAGGTGTTGTTTTTCTGTAGAGGAAGGCACTTAAGGCTGATTAGCCAAGATTATAGTTTATATATTCAGACTGTGTTTTTAAAAATTCCTTTTTTTTTAATGGAGGGAAATGGTGAGTTTTAGAGTGTATATCTGTTGTAAATTCTCATTACACATTTATAAAAATAAATTTCGGTGGTTTCAATGATTTCACTCATAATTGTAATCATGGTTTTTATTTCGATCGGTTGTAATCCATTTCTATTTCTGTGGTTGTGTGTGTGTATGTGTGTGTACACATACATGTGGTTATCACATTGCTATAGAACCTGTTTTAAGTTTTTATACTTAAAATTACATTAATATAACACATTATTAAAATCCTTCATAAATGTAGTTTCTACTGTACTATAATAAAATTTCATCAGCATACCTCTATTATTGGGCATTTGCTTTATCATCCGTTTATCTTTATTGACAGTCATCATTAATAATATTCATTTGGCAGAAATATGATTTGAAGAAGAAGGTTATGTTGTACAAATCGTTGGAAATATGCTAAAGACAGTAGGAAATTGCATTGGTTTGAGGTCTAAGTTGGACAGCAATAGAAGAAAGGAGAGGTTAATTGGATTATTGTTATTTCCCAGGCTTTGATTTCTTCAAGACACAAATCAGGTTTTCTTCTTAGTTACCACTGAGCAAGGCTCAGCATCAATGAAAACATGAGTGAGTGAGGGAACACATAGAGAGGTCCATTCCATCACATCACATCTAAACAGCCTTCCAAGGAACAGAGACATGGCTTAGCAGGTCAGTGCTCTTGCTTTGAAAACATGAATACCAGAGTTTAGATCCCAGCCTCCAGGAAAAGCTAGATATTTTCTTATGAATCTGTAGAAGTGAGGGTGGGCAGAGACAAGATACATGTTGGGAGTTTTTGCTATACCATTAGTGGGGCACCTGGCCAGGAGATATCTTTTGAATCCACAAATGAAAGACATACACACATTAGCTTATTTTTAAAATGGCTTGGCTACCTCAAAGGCTGGGCACTCTTAAACCTTCACCTAATTCCCCAAGCCAATTAGGGAAGTGGCCAGTGGCCACTTACCTGAAGTCTTACATGGCTGGTTGGCTTTATTTCCTACTGCTCCTGCATCCCATCCTTCTACCCTGGAGTCACTGTGATACTCTCTCATTCCTCTCTGTGTCCTCACCTGCTCAACTCTGTCTTGCCCTGTGCCTAGCCATTGGCTATTGGCATCTTTATTGATTGATCAAAAACCAATTGGGGACAAAGACATTTAGCATTTAGGCAAGCAGATTCCCAATTGAATCAAAGCATTAAAACCAATCTCCAACACAGGAGGGGTCACTGGAGTTTGATGCTTATCCAGACTAAGCAAAATTAGTGAGTTTCAGGTTCATCAAGAGATCATGCCTCAACGGTTAAAAGAAGGAGGGAGATAGAATAGGACACGTATGTGCTTCTCAGATCCTCACATACACACTTACCAACACACACACATATGTTGTTTCACTTTTGAAGCAGAACTCACAAAAACTGAGAGTGTTCAGCAAAGAAGTTAATGTATTTAGCTTCCTCTTTTAAATGCATTTCTTACTTACTTTTGGTCAGTGAGTAAGTACTTATAACCATTCTCTCAGTGGGCACAGCACTGTGCTTGCTGCCTTAGCAAGAAAGGTATACATTCTGCCTTCCCCATAACGTACAATTTAGTTGAGGAGTAAAAACCAATACCCAGTGATTAAAAAGGGGTGTGACTTAAAGAGTTATGTTTATTCGAGGATGCATTTACTACCTACAGAAAAGGAGTACGAAAATGTAACAGAAACGTCAGCAAGCACAGTAGAAAGCAAAGACAATTTTATGAATTAAATGGAGTTTTTGTGATTTTTGCCTGACTCTGTAAGATGGAGGCAGAAGACAGCTGGCTTGCATGTGCCGTGTAGCGGATCTTTCTTTAGTTTTCTGCTGTAAACGAAGGTCTCTATATTCATTTAACCAGTGTTTCACCTTTTATTCTCATCTGCGACCTGGCTTGCACAGGCAGTCTCAGAGACAGGCAAGCCCAACTCTAAAGCCTGCTGTGAAATATATGTGAATAGTCACTATTTTCTAGTGTGCTGATCTCACTCTGGAAACAATGCTTATGTGCTAATTGAGCTAATGAGAATGTATTAGCTGTTGGCTTAGTGGGGTAATCTGATCGCTAAGGTCTCTTAGGTAACCTAGCACTTCAAGATAATGCTACTAGAAAACATTAAACCAGAACTGTCAAGTGTATGTGGGAAGTACTTGATGGGCAGGGTGGATGGGTAGTGATGCGTCAGGTCAAAGTTCTTCATTTGAACTCCAGGGTAGAATTCAGAGATCTTGTAGGATTGGATCAAAAGGTCACTAAACTTTGGTTTGTATTTTCTTATTTTTAAATCTGTTTTTTTTAAATAATCATTGCATAATTAACCAAAATCTGGAAATCAGGACTGATACATATAAGACCATGTATAATCTATAATTCTTATAGTCTCCTATTCATGTTCATGATAACCTTGAATTTACTATGTAGCCCAGGCCTGAAACTTGCCAATCTTCCTGCCTCAGCCTCTTTTTTATTTCTTTTTTTTATAAGGACAACATTTAATTGGAGCTGACTTACAGGTTCAGGAGTTCAGTCCATTATCATCAAGGTAGGAGCATGGCAGCATCCGGGCAGGCATAGTGCAGGAGGAACTGATAATTCTACATTTCCATCTGGAGGATGCTAGCATAATGCTGGCCTACAGGCAGCTAGGGTCTTGAAGCCCAACATCCACAGTGCCACACCTACTCCAACAAGGCCACACCTACTCCAACAAGGCCACACCTACTCCAACAGGGCCACACCATTTTTATTTTTTTAATTGAATATTTTATTTATTTACTTTTCAAATGTTATCCCCTTTCCCTATTTCCCTTCTGCAAACCCCCTATCCCACCCCCCCTTACCCTGCTTCTATGAGGGTGCTTCCCTACCCAGGGGTGCTCCCCTACACATGCATTTTCTTTTAATGTAATTCCGAGAAACCAACTGTGGTGTTTGCAGTACTTTGGCTTGTATCAGTCACTGATACAAAGTCAAAGATCTTTTTCCCGACAATTATTTTCTATCTCATGACGTTGGTCTGTGTTGAACACTGTGAGGGGAAAGTGTGACAATCTTCAGGCTTCAGTTAGATCTCATTATTTAATGCAATTGGAAAAGTATGATACTATACTTCCAGTTTGTCTTTAAAATATTTTTACATTAGTGGTTAAATATAAGTTGTCTCCTTTACATGTCTGTGTTTATTTCGTACTTTTTGCAGTGTGAGCATGAGAGAGCATCATAAACTAGACAAAAAGAACTCGGTAAAAAAAATAAAATAAAATAAAACAGGTTGGAAATTCTGCTTAGGATGAGTACCTTGGAGCCTTTTTCCTTATGGAAATGCTGCTATTTGCAATACAAATTCCTCCTGCTTTTCTGACACAAGGGGATCCCACCACCAGTCCCTTTCTATGGGGGAGAACTTGGACCAGTTCTGCTGTCAGTTTATACAGTGAGATCCTCACCATATGCAACTTTCAAGGCTGGAACGATGACACGCCGCCAAAATGGCTGGGAAACATGGAGAAGCAGAGAGCTTGTGGCTGGACCACCATACAAGGAGAAGTGACTTCTGCAAAATTCCATCTCACTGAAGGCTGCTGCTCTCCCTCCTTGGCTATGCTGCTTTGCGACACTCACATAGTATCAGTGACATTTTACATAAATAAACAAAAGCCGAGTGCAGGAGGCACTCTGTCCAGCTCTTTGGCTTGGCAGATGGTATTAGATGTGAAAGGAAAACACACAGTAGGTCCAAAGTTCATTTCTCCTCTCGCTGTGGGTGGGCCCCATTGTCAATGTTGCCGTGGCCTCCAGACTACAGGTAAGCTCAGCTTTTGATTAAATCTGGTTCTGACCCTATCTTCTGCAAGCTGGTGAGGATGGAACAGGTCCTCAGGATTCAGGTTTACCTTGACTCCATGACAGGGGTGGGAGAAGGGGAATGAGGAGAATGGCTTGATTCTGGCCCCTCTGGAGCCTCTCTGAAGGAGGGTTGTGGAATGCAGCCATGTATGCTGGGAAAGAGTGCACAGAGAGGCTCTTTCTGGATACTTTTGCGTATGTCTTCAAGGCAGAGTTGAACAGTCACCAGTGAGAAAGTGCAGAATCCATTCCGCAAAGGCCTTTGTAAGATTGGCTCTCAGAGTCATGGACCTGGAGTGGCTGTTCTTTGTCAGAGTAGGGATAGAGTTTAGGCCCAATAATAAGCCTGTGTCAAATAGAATCACTTTCCCTGTGGCTTATTTAACTTTCTTTAGCCCTTGTGCCTTCTTATTTATTGCTATTTTCCACGTGACTTTTGTTTAGTTTAAATGTTGTTTGTCCTTAGGCACTGAGCTTTTAAAGTGAAATCAAAACTTTCAGACAGGATTATTTTGTGGCCAGAGCCAGGAAAGCAGACAGGATACATAGGAAATTCATGTATTTAAAGCATAAGCACTAGTTTATCTGGGACACCATTGTACCACAGGTGCCTGGCCAAGCTGCACATCTACAAAGTATTTTATGGCAGGATTCTTCATGGAAATAAATAGATACATTGGTTGTTTCCATGGAGGAGCTTAGCAGTTTGAGTAACTGTCCTGAATATACTGGAGAACCTGAGACCATACCTGCTCTCCTGAGCTCCAAGAGGGAATTACTTGTGAATTACTTGTGAATTCCTGAGGTAGTCTGAATGTCATCAAAATACTACTCAACTAGAAGTTTCCTAGTTTAAAGGATGTCACATGGGGACATTTTGCATGTTCTTAAAGTCATTTATTTATCAGATTCTTGTTGGCTACATTTTTTTTCTATAATCTTTATTTTGCAGGTAAAAGATAAAATACCAGTTAAATACGTACTGGTGGTTTGCTCAAGAAACCAACCTTGATGAGATTATTTGGGATTAGTGAGGAATTTCCTTTAATCTCCTATAAATTCCATCTCATGACCAAAATTTATGAGTGTGATTACCAACTGTAAATAACCCAAGACTCATTAAAACCTCAAGTCATGAGAGAGCCAGAAATGTTTAAGAACAATACATATGAAAGTGAGTTTTTCTTATTCACATCTCATCAAGTCACACATTGAACTTACAGGTTGAGTTTTACTATCTTTAAAAAAATGGCTAAGTTTTACTCAACTACTTTCCTGATGGTGTGTCAGTGGGCTGCCATGTCATGTAGAAGATGGTATATTGAAGCTATAGTTTTATTTTATAGGCTGTGATGTAAGTTTATACTTATTTTCCAGTTTACCTAATGTCCACTTCAATCTACATGTGTTTGGCTTGATTCCTCTGAAGATTAGAAAATAGTTACACTGAAAATAATTTATGTATATATAAGCCATAGTTAAAATATTTAACAAAAAATTAAACATTCAACTTTCGGACAAGATGAAACTTAGGCACAATTTTTTTTTTTTTGCTTTTTTTTCGGTTTTTGTTCTGTTTTGTTTTTTGCATTAAGAAAAATGTGTGTCATGTAAACATGAATGTGAAGCAGACTTTCCACAGTGTGGGATCTGAGTTGTTTGTTTGTTTGTTTTGCTTTTGTTTTTTTCCCGTAGGTAACAATGAGAGGACTGTGCTATCTCATTGCCAGTGCATGTACTTCTAATGAACACAGTGAAAGCAGAGTGTCTGTGATACAGCAATTTAACCACTAGATCTGGGCCAGGAGTGGTATGAGATTTGTTTATTATTTTACTTTGCCTGAGACTTTGCAGTAATATTATTCATAGCTCTGGACATTCTTTTGCTGTCCATGTAGCATCTCTTTCAGTCTCATTATTTGATGTTTGTGACAAGCTGAACCATAAAATCAAACGCAGAATGTTCTTGTTTATTCCTCTGGACAGAGAGACTGGAGTGCAGCTCAGTGATAGGAAACAGTATGCCTCATTCCTCTTTCTAAGATGTACGAAAGCACATACTTGTAATTCTTGAAACCGTATGCACACCACATTTGAAGCATTAACAATTAATAGGGTCTTTATGTGTATGAAGAATATGAAGATAAACAAAAGATGCAGAAATTAAATTGAATAGCTTCAACTCTATGTGACGGAGCTTGGAACTCTAATCAAGTCTGAGCTCAAATCCTGAGCTCTCTTTTTCTAAAGCAGTCATCCAGATAACTGAGTTGAGGTGTCACACCGTGGTATCCCAGATATGCCCTTTGTTTCCGTATTGTTTCTGTGTTCTGAAGGCATGTAGCTATCTTCTTCCTTTAGAAATCAGTAACTTCCTCTCCCAAGTCAACTGAATACATCAAAACAGGTAATAGTTTTAGAAGTCAGAAAGACTTCCCTAAGAGTGGTACTAAAATAACTTGAAGGTCAGAAAGTGATCTGGAGTGAGGACTGCTTGAAGGATCTAGCCGAACAAGTGTGAAGGCTCTGTGCAAAAGAACCACAGCTAGGAAGGGATGGGAAAGCAGCCATGGCTGAAGCATAGGGTGTTATGAATGGGCAGTGATGGGAACCTGATCAATCCAGACCTGTGCTACAGCTTAGAGTTTTAGACAGACAGACCAACACACATAGGTAGGTAGGTAGATAGATAGATAGATAGACATACAGTTAGACAGATACTTCTCTGGATAATCTAGACTTATACAACAAAGCCACTGTAAGCTTGTAAATAAAACAATCACAAAATATGTTTTAAATAGTAAAGAATGTTCTATATATGAGAAAAATCTACTGGAGGAAGAAGCAAAAATGGATAATGGAATTTGTTTTAATGGAAAATAAAATCCTGATAGGTATCTTAAACTCCAGGGAAAGAACCAAAGGCAAGGAAAGTTGCTATATCTCAGATATATTTTGTTGGTAAAATAGACTGGACTTGGTGATTGCTTGAATAAGAAGATAATAAATAAGAAAGTTTAAAATGAGTTTAGTGCCCAAATTGGGGGAGTTGTGAAATTGTCTGGGAGGAAAGGATACCGTTTACAGAATTGGAGAGTGCTGGATTTGGAGCAAATTGGAGAGAGAAATCAAGATTTAATTAAAAAAAAAATACATAGTTGAACTATTTTTGAGAAATTAGAGAATTTCTGTTAAGTAATCATTTGGATACAAGATGTTCTAGTTTGATTTCTGTTGATGATATAAACATCATGACCAAAAGCAACAAGGAGAAGTAAAGGGTTTGTTTGGCTTACACTTCCTGGGAACTTCCAGGCAGGAACTCAATCAGGAACTGAAGAAGAAACCATGGAGGATAGCTGCTTACTGGCTTGCTCCCTCTTGCTAGCAGTTGGCTTGCTTTTTAATACTACTCTGAACCACCTGCCTGTGGGGAAAATTTAAAAAGGCCGCCACAGCAGCGCAAGCCCCTGAGGGGCTTCCACCGCTGTGGCGGGTCCCATATTAGGGAAGAGGTCCTATGGTTCCAGCGGCCTAAGGGCCTTGGCGGCGGCAGGCCCCAGTAACACGAGGAAGTCCTTGGTTCCAAAAAGGTTTATTGTCATGGCAGATAATAGATGGATCTAGGCGTACCCCCCCCCCAAAAAAAACTCAGGGCAGTCCCAAGTTATATCGGGAGGGAGAAAGGGGGAGGAGTGGGGGAGGATCTGGGGGAGGAGTGTTTAATTTGCTCTGCCCTCTGGCCTTCATTAGTATGTAAATCCCTAGGGCCTGAGGCCTATAGCCTGGCCTATGTGACTCTATGGAGATCTATGTGACTGCTTTTCAGGATCTTGGATGATGGGAGGGACCGAACTCCTGCCGGTTCTCACGCAGAATTCCACGGAGAATCTCGGGGTTCTAAGTACCTGCTCAACCATGACTCAGGATACACTTATGCAGTCCCACACCTGCCTGAAGTTGACATAGTAGGCCGTGTCCTTTCCCATGTCAATCAGCAATCACTACTATTCCCCATGAATGACCACAGGCTAATCCAATCTGGACAATCCCTCAACTGAGAGTCCTTCAACTGACCCTTCACTGTGTCAAGGTGGCAGCTGAAACTAACTAGGACTCAGGTTGGATATGTAAGGTGAAAAATCACTGGCATATCAATGCAATTTGAAGCTGTGTGAGTATATAACAACTTGCTGATGAATAGTTTTTAATAAGAAAAGAAGAAGGGCTGGGTAGTCAGCTCAGCTTGAGCTCAGTCACCATGCACAAAAGTCTAGGTTCTAGCCTTGCCCTGCAAAAATTGCCTATGGCCCCACATGTCTGCAATACTTGGGAAGTGGAAGCAGGGAGAGAATCAGAACTTAACATCATCCCTGGGATATGTTTAAAGATGCAGGTGAGTGTCAGAGCAGCCTGTCTGACAAGGTAGGAAGGTAAAGGGTTTTCAGAGTGAGTCAATCTGAAATGCCACAGTGCAGGGCTACAGTTTGCAAAATGAGATTTCTCGAAGAAAAAGGGGATGCTATGGTATTTGGTAAGGAATACTTTCTACTGATACACCAGACTTGATCTGAGTAAAAAGGAAGACGGGACATAAGAGTCTTGCTACATAGGAAGAAGTCACAACACTTTAAGACATGAAGAAGAGAAAGTTCTGCTTGAGTCAGTTCAGGGGAAATAAGAGTCACTTTAGTGCACGCTGGTTCCACCCACTTCACCCAGAAGGATCTAGGTTCCCACTTTGTCCCTGCCAACTGCCCGATACCCTTATTTATTTGTCTTCTGTGGAGTGACATTAAATTGTATGGATCTAGCCCCTGGGTTAAAGTAACACTTTTCATACTATTCTGCTAGACAGAGAGATATTTTAGTTATAAGTTAGAGAACTTTTTGAACTAAGTCTTTTTGCCTTGTTCCATTGTCTGACTAATTTTAATTCATTTCTGTACATAATTTTTT